TTTAGGTTTTTACCTTCCAGGCCTCCTCTAATCAAACCTCCCTGTCCTGGGTCCCTTCAGGCCCCCAAGGCCCCATCAGGCTCCTGGTTAACTGGTCTCAAGTAAATGTATTGAATCAGGACGTTAAACACTGATAATGCAAAATACTCACACGATTGTGTAAAGAGGAGATCTGACAAAGGAAAAGGCGTGCAACCTCACTCGTAATCAAAAGAATGCAAATATGATATAATTTTCCAATGACCAAATGAACAGAGGTGAAAAAGAATGACTAGTTTGAGAGACTTCGAGAAAGGCGAGGTCTCCTGTCCACTGGTGCAAGTATGAATTGGCACCATTTTTTTGGAGAACAGTTTGACAATGTACATCATACACTCAATAATGTGCAGACACAGCAGTTCAACTTCTGAGAATTAATTGTAACGAAATTTATCAAGCAGAGGCCAGAGATTTTCAAACCAGCCTGGTTTATAATAAAGGATATAATTAAAGAATATAGGGGGGAGGGTATAGCTCACGTGGTAGAGCACACGCTTAGCATGCACGAGGACCTGGGTTCAATCCCCAGTACCTCCTCTATTGTAAACAATACTGCTATGAACATTGGGGTGCAGGTGTCACCGTGACGTAGGGTTCCTTCTGGATATAAGCCCAGTAACTCCTCTAAAAATAAATAAACCTAATTACTCAGCACTCCCGCCAAAATAAAATAATTAAATAATAAATAAATAAAAATATTTTAAAAGAATATAAGTAAAGAAATAATCTAAATGACCACCGAGTATCATTCATATCAATGATGGTGGTCCACTCATACAATGGAATACTAAAGAGTCTTTAAAATGATATGAATATTTATAGACATGAAAGGATATCCATTAGATATGGTGTCATTGGTGTAAAATTGTGTGTCTGTTGCGTGCACAAGTGTGTTTGTACACACAAAGATCTACAACGGAAGTCACTGGAATATCAATTGTGGTGTCTTCTGGTTGGGAGCACTTTGAATGCCTTTACATTCTCATTTTCTTATTTCTAAAGTTATAAAAGCCATATTTGTTATTTTCACATCAATAGTTGACACTAGCAAAGTGTGTGCTGTGTGCCAGGTGCTTCTCTAATTGCTACAAACTATGATTACTCCTGAAGGAAACAAGGGTGGGGAGAGATTGGGTAACTTGCCCAAGGTCCACAGCTAGTAAATGGTAGCACTGAGATTCAAAGCCTAGTGGTCTGGCCCCACGGGCTGCGCCCTTACTACACTAATTAACTCAAGTAGAGTGAGAGTCTCTTAACCCGTACCCCCACCAACGACCCCACCCCTCCCCTCAGAAGTAAACATTTAAATCCACTTGACAGGGATCCTCCCAAAATTTGTGCCAGGCATTGTCAGACCCGTGTCAGACGTACGCATGCATGTGTGTGTTTTTCTTTTTTATATAAAACGAGATGTTATTGTGCATCCTGTTAGTACACATAGTTCGCCCTCGTGCTTTTTTACCACTGAGGGGTGTTCTGCAGCGTGAATGGATGGAACTGATGTGCCCATGCCCCCTCCTACTGAAAACTGCTGGTTCCCAGTTCTTCATTTGAACAGACAAAGCTGCAGTGAGCGTCTCCTGGTACACACAGTACAATGTGCAGATGTGGAATGCTATTCCTATGACAATTTCCCAGAAAATCGAACTGCGGGGTCAAAAGACACGTATGCCAAAACTGAAAAAGACTCCCCAGTTCCCCACAACAAGAAGGCTGTGTGGCTACACTATATACACATGTATGTGTCATATACATACATACAGTCTTTGAGTGCCCATATATACTGTTCATTGTTTCTAAGAACAGTTTAGAGTATTAGCTTTTTAAACTTACATAATTATCTAAGGAATAAAGCCAACCACAAAATAAGAATCAACAGAATTCAGTAATCCAATCATAAAGGAGAGTCAAATGTGCTCACACATGTTCAAGGAATCAATCATCTTAGTTATAAATAATAAGTAGTTCATTTGTGTCCTGTTTTTTTTAGATTCCACATATAAGCGATATCATATGGCATTTTTCTTTCTCTTTCTGGCTTACTTCATTTAGAATGACAATCTCCAGGTCCATCCATGTTGTTGCAAATGGCATTATTTTATTCTTTTTTATGGCTGAGTAGTATTCCATTGTATAAATATACCTCATCTTCTTTATCCAGTTATCTATTAATAGACATTTGGGTTGTTTCCATGTAAATGTCAGTCCATTGATACCCTGTTGGTTGCAAGTATTTTCTGTGTGTGTTGCACTTCTTTGAATTTCATTTATGTCTTACTGTTATAGAGAGATTTTAACTTGGTTTATTTATGTAACAAAATGTGCCCATTTTTTTCCTTTATGGCTTTACATCTTGTTTAGGAATTCTTTCTCCACAACCAAGAATATAAGAATACTCTCTTCTCTTCTAGTATGTTTATATTTTGTTTATAGATTTTAACATTGTTATTTATTTATTTTAATTGTGGTAAAAAATACATAACATAAACTTTACCATCTGAACCATCTGTAAGTGCACAGCACGGTAGCATTAATACATTCACACTGTTGTGTAACCATCACTATCATCCATCTCCTGAACTCTTTCATCCTGCAAAATGGAAACTCTATACTCATTAAGCAATAACTCCCCTTCCCTGCTCTCCTCAGCCCCTGGCAAACACCATTCTACTTTCCGTCTCTATGAATTTGACTCCTCTAAGTCCCTCATATAAGTGGAATCTTATCATAGTTTTTGTCCTTTTGTGACTGGTTTATTTCACTTAGCATAATGTCTTCAAGTTTCATCCATATTGTAGCATGCGTGAACATTTCCTCTTTTTTTAAGTCTCAACAATATTCCATTACAGATTTACTTTTGTATTTGGCCTTTAATCTGTGTAGAATCTAACAGTGTTTGATGAGAAGTAGGGACTTAAGTTTTTTATTTTTAGGTTGGTCATCTTTAAAACAAAACCCAGACTCCCATGGGGGCTCAGGTCTGTTTCTGGACTTTTGTGTTATTGATCCCTTTGTCTGTAACTGGACTGGAATTACACTGCTTTAATTACTGAAGGTTTTCAGTAAGTTTTTATAGCTGCTAAAATCATGTTCCATCCCCATTCCTGTTCTATTTTAGACTTTCCCCAACCATTCTCAGACATTTACTATTTCAGAGGAACTTTAGAATTACATGGTCACAGCCCAAAAATACTCCCTTGCAATTTTGACTGGGCTACCTTGAAGTCACCCACTAATTTGAGGTTGACATCTTATAAAGCTGAGCTGCTTGCTAGCACATCTCCAGGAGACCTTGCTTCCCGGTGGCTCTCCAGGCTGTCCCGTGATGCCCCCTACATGGCTGTCCGAGGACCTCCCACTCGCCCCGCCACCCCAGCCTATGATTCCAAGGCTTCTAGAAGGGACAGATTCCTATACATCCTTGATTTAATTTGTGAATGAAAATACTGCAACCATATCAGTAAACAAAGAATGCTGAAACCAAGTCATCAGCGACTGTCGCCCTCCCCCAGCAAGGACAGGCCTGCAGCCCAGCCTCTGCAGCCACTCACAATGGTGCCCTCTGAGCACCATCAGTCTTATTCTGAGACTCAGAATAAGAAAGGACAGGATGCTGGCCCTAGATAGCCAGATGTTTGTCAAAGGAATGAATTCAATGAACCCAAATGTTTGCTTCCTCCCATACACAGAAAAGCACTAAATTCTTTAACTTGAGATGCCTGGTTTTCTTTAGATAACAAGCAATCTTTTATTGTTCCAACCACCTGGTCTTTGTCGTAAAGCTCCTATATTTCCTAGCTCCTCCCCTACCTCTTCAGAGCTGTCCCTCAGAGCATCTGAGAGGCTGTCATCCCGGCTCAAGTCCTCCCACCAAATAAAACATAACTCTTAACTTTTAGGCTGCGCATTTATTTCAGTTGACAAATTCTTTCCTTCCCCAAATGACATTTGGATTTTAACCTGTCGACTGAAATAAAGTGCACAACCTAAAACTTGAGGTTTTATTCGATGGACATTTCTGAGGACTCAAACCATTCAAACCCAGGGTGACAGCCTCTCAGATCGCCTGAGGGACTGCTCCAAAGAGGTAGAGGAGGAGCCAGGATATATAGGAGTTTTTACAACGAAGACCAGGTAGTTGGAACATCAAAAGATTACTGTTAATTAAAGAAAACCAGATAGCTCTGGATTTTAGTGCTTTTCTATGTATGGGAAAGCGCAAAGGTCAGGGCTGATTGAAATCATCCCTTTGACGAGCACCTGGCTATCAAGCGCCAGCCTCCCGTGCTTCCCATCCTGAGTCCCCGCAGGGGGCACCGCTGGGGTGGCTGCAGAGGCGGGGCTGCCTGCTTGATCTGCATCCTGAGTTGGCTGATGACTTGATGGCCCAATTCTTTGTTTACTGATACCGGCGTGCAGTATTTTTCGTTCATAACCTGAACTTTCAGAGCCAAAATCCAGAGTGGGCCTTGCAGAAACCTCAGGCCCTGCAGTAGACCCGTGGGGAAATACTCCCCTGCTCCCAGCAAACTACACCCCTAAGGCCGATGCTGAACACACGTGTGACCAGTTGACAGGTGACTAGGGTCCAGCTGACAATTTTCTTAATAGCTTTACTATTACAGGATACCATAAAGTTCCCTTGTTTTAAGTGTATAATTAAATGATTTGCGCAACCAGCCCAAATCCAATTTTAGAACACTCCCACCACCCCAAAAGTACCCCTCATGCCTATTAGGGTCCTTCTCTGATGCCACTTTGTCTTGAGCATGAAAGCATCGGGAGGCGTGGGGGACAGAGTGAGGGAGTCCCCAGGAGATCCTCCGCCAGTAAGTCTAGAACCAATGCCCCAACAATGTGCATAACACAACCTGTGAGCCAGCACCCCTCTCCTGAGGAGACCTACTGGGGGCTCCTCCTGAGGGCACTGGCCATGCTGAGCCCCATCCCCACCCTTCCAGGTGGATAAAGTTTGAAGAAAAGGTGGAGGAAGGAGGCGAACGCTGGAGCAAGCCCCACGTGTCCACACTGTCCCTGCACAGCCTCTTTGAGCTCCGGACCTGCCTGCAGACGGGGACGGTGCTGCTGGATTTGGACAGCGGCTCCTTACCGCAGATCATAGGTGAGGTGGGGACCACTGTGTCCCCCTCAAACCAGGGCAGCATCCCCTCCTCACCCCGTCTCATGCCCACCCTTGGTCTGTGTGACATGCCCACCTCTGATGCCGACCTGATTCTGCAGAGACGAAGCTTTGGGTCTGAAGCTCCCAAGGCAGTGTCACAAGTTTCCGTTCCATGTAGGGAAGGAAAGACCAGCCTCTGAAATGCAGCCAGCAACGTAACCCAAGGGAGACATGGTTGGACAGGGCTCTTAGCATGGTTGCAGACATCTGTTGCCATGGCAACCTGTTTCTCATCAGAGTAAATGGAACATCATTCATCTTTAGGAAACTAGCTCTCATTTGATGGAGTGGCAAAGGGAGGCAGTGGCTTGCCTTATCATCCTTAAAACTTCTTGTGAATTTTGTTCCAGCACGTTCAGTTTTGCCAGAACTATTTTGCCCAAAATACTTTTCTAAAAAGAATCATGTTAGGACTAAACCCATTTACCATAGTACTTTCATGCTTCTTAGGGTACTTTCATGTGTGCAATTTCATTTACTTTCCACAATGTTATGATAGAAAGAGCAGAGACTCCTGCACCCACACAGGCACCCACATGCACCAACACCCACAGATATGCTCACACCCTTTTACATATGAGGGGGCTGAGGGTGCATGACTGATCCAAATTTCCAGTTTGTGGCAAAGGTGGAACTATTTCTATATCCTCTGCCTCTTTTAGCTCACTTTTGATCCCACTAATAGCAGATGAAACTGAAGACCCCCACATCCCTGGTCATGCTGTCCCACGTGGACGAGGCGTGTTTGTTTCCCACTTAGATGATGTCATTGAGAAGCAAATTGAGGACGGCCTCCTTCGGCCAGAGCTCCGCGAGAGGGTCAGCTACGTCCTCCTGAGGAAACACCGTCACCAAACCAAGAAGCCCATCCACCGCTCCCTGGCCGACATCGGAAAGTCGGTCTCCTCCACCACCAGTGAGTAGGGCCGTTCGCCCCTGGCTTGTTCTGTGCGCGCATCTCAAATCAGCGTCCCTCCACCCTTGCTGTCCCAGAGCTGAGGTGCCCAGGCACTAGCCCTGCTGGCCCTGTCAGATAAATGTAGTAATCTGCACAAAGCTGGTGAAGCTGCTAAACAAAGAGCCTTGAGGAATCTCTTTAGACGAGTTATTTATAAAGTGTGTATTTAGCAAGTGGTAATGACGGCGGCAGGGACTTCCAGGCACTGTCTGAGTGCTCCCCGTGTGTTAACTCACTTCGTCCTCACGGTAACCCCGTGACTAGGGGCTGCTCTCGTCATCCCCATTTTACAGACGAGGAGGCTGAGGCTCGGAGAGGTTGAGCTACTTGCCGAAGGTCACGTGGCCAGTAGCTTGTGGAATCAGGGCTGAACCTCGGTAGTCTACAACGCCTGGTGCCTGTTTAATCAATTGTGTCTCTCACTTTCAACAGTACAAATATTTCCTCTGATCATGTTCAGACTATTCATTTGCTTCACACACACAAGAAAAAAAAACCTTGAAAAACAAGAACCAAAACCAAAACCACCAAAACATCCTTTCTTCCTGGAAGGGGAAGGCATGTCTTGCCGCCCATTTTTATTTAGGTGAAAGGATTGTAGATGTGGACTACGCTAGTGCACGAAGCGGAGCCACGGCGGCGAGTCTACCGAAGCCAAATCCCTCTGTCCCTCCTCCCAGATCGCAGCCCAGCGCGGACCCCGGCGGCGGGCCCGAACCTGCATCGCTCCACCGAGGACCTGAGGATGCGGCAAAGCGCGCATTACGGACGCCTGTGTGAGTGTCTTCTCTGCGGCTGCGCGGCAGCTCCGCTGTGGCCGGGGCCGCCCTGAAGGCTGACCTGACTCACGCAGACTTTCATAGCAGAGGAGGGAAAGCTCAGGCTCTGTCCAGAATTCTCAGTCATCAGGAGAAATCTGATTTTCCCCCTAAACCGGGGCTGCCCTCATGTTATTAACAAATTTACTACCGTAATTTTCTAAATAATCACTCCAAAAAAAAATGCAGCTCTAATCAAGTCCTGTCATAATCAATATGCAGGCCTAGGTGCTAAACATTTTTAACCTAGCTTACGCCTTTGTTTTCACCAAACTGATCATTAGTCCTGTTTTTGTGAAAAGACTTCCAGAAACAGAGTTAAAAACAGTTCTTTCCCCCAGGACAGTCAGAGAACGTTCCCCTCCGGGATGACAGTCTCATGCCCGTAGACAGTGGGGCTCTGGCCAAGCCGCAGCCCCTGAGTGCTGGGAGTGGGTGGGCTGCGTGGTCACAGACTCGGCCTTTTCAGGGACGAACAGCCCCATGAGCTGTGAGGCAAAGGAGAGAGGGAACTTGGGAAACGAAAAGGAAAAGCAGTGGGAAGGAGTAGTTTCCTTTAAACACTTTTACTAATATGCCAAGATATAGGTAAGACATCCCAGGGCTGTGGTCCTAATCAGGCCTGAAGAATGCCTGGCAGGAGGGGGGTGGGGGTGGGGCGTAGTGTGGCGGACATGACCTCTGCCGGGTTTGCTGCAGACTTTTCTCTGTTCTTAGTGACCCCAGGATGCTCTCAATCTCCCCTCGTCTTGGTTATTCCACAGAGGGACACCAGCAGTCAGCAGGCAAGGACTGGCTTTGGGACGAGCCTTCTGCTCTGTTATTCACTATATATGCAGTGCCAATGCTGTGCTGTGCGGGGACCCAGATAAAGGGCCTGAGTAAGGGATTACAGCTTTGTGTACTATGTCGCCCCACCCCGAGGTGGCGCCTGGGAAGGCTCAGCGAGGACTAGACACGCTCCTGAGTCTTGGGAGAATAAATAGGAGATTTCCAGTAGCATGGGGGAGGAAGAGGGTATTCTTTACAACAAAGGAAACAAACAGCAGGTGAGGAGAAGGCGCTGTGAAGGGTGTCCCATATTCTAAAATATACACTCATATTCTGGGAAATAAATCGATTCAGCTCACCAGGAATGTATTCTAAGGGAAGGAAGGTCCAATCAAAGAGGGCCTATGTGTCCTGCAAAAGGATCCAGCCTTCATTTTGAGGGTGGTTGGAACCCCTGAGAAGTTTTAAGCAGCGGGGTACCATGCCCAGATTTTTACTTGAGAAATAAACTAGAAGGGGCCTAACGACTGGAAAAGAAATGCTGCAGAAAAACATGTTAAAGCTCGGTGTTACAGCTCAGTTGAGACAGAAACCTGGGTCCCTGGTGAGAAGCCAAGCGGCACTTGGAGAAATGAAGAACTCACGTTTATTACACCACCTGGCCCAGAGAAGTTAACACTTCAAGTTCTGAACCCCGGCTGTAGGTTTACACAGGCCTTTCATAGGCTGTCAGTTTTACACTTTGCAACATCATATGCAAATCAGATATAATAGAAGTTGACCAACCAGGAACAAGCTTTGTAGAAATAGACCAATCAGGAGGGAGAGAAATAGCCAATCAGGAGCGAGCTCCGTGCAAATGAAGTACTACAAATGGACCAATCAGAAGTTAGGGAAGTGGACCAATCAGAAGTGAGAGTAATACCCAATCAGGAGTGAAGGAAATAACCAATAAGAAATGAGCTCAGGAAACCAATAGAATTTTAGGTGTAACTTAGCCGCTTTAGAGGCAGAAAGTGAGATAGAGTTTCCCGGCCAGGGAACCTGACGTTGCTGGGAGAAGAGCAGCAGCCCTGCCTAGGGGTCCTGCCGGTCTTTTTATGGGGCTTCCCGCCTCAAAGAGATGAAGCCCATATTCGGGCAGTGAGAGCAAGAATGGAGAGAGGAGGGCCCTGGTGGGACTCAGTGACTGGTGGGGAGTGGGAGGTGAGGAAGAGGGTGGAGTCGAGGCTGCTTTTACAGGCTCGAAAGCCAGTGGATGAGGGAGGAGGCATTGGGTCTGCAGAGGGGGTCATCTGATGGAAGACAATGAGTTTCATTTCCCGGTGTGTTGACTTTGAGGTGCCAGGTGGGGCTCTCAGAGGAGTCTGGAGCTCAGGAGAGACATATGGACTGGAGACTCAACCTGGGCCTCCTCAGCCCAAATGTGGATGGGGAAGTGGGTGTGATTGACCAAGGAGGAGGCGGGGAGGTTGCTGGAGGATTTGAGAACAAAGCAAGGCCCTGAGGAGGGCCCATCAGGAGAGGCTCCTGGGTGGAAATTAGAGGAGGGGAGCCGAGGGAGAACAGAGGTCTGGAAGTGAGGGGACACCACAGGCCACAGAAGGCCAAGGAATAATAGGTGTGAGGGTGCTCACTGTGTCTGGCCGCTAGTGGGAAATGACAGCTCAACTTCTGCCTTAATGGAGGAGGGAACTGTCCGCAGTTCAAATAGTTCATCAGCACTGTCCCCCCGGGGGGCCCACCTTCCTTCCCTCTGCCAGCCGCATCCCCAGCCAGCTTTAAAGACTCGCATGAGTCATAGCGGACACAGCTGAAACTGCTCTCTCCCCATCAAAGTCCAAGCTTAGGGACACCTGGCTCCTCACCTGGTAGTGTGGCTGTGTCCCTCCCCATCTCCAGGGCCTGGTGCAGAGCAGACAGCTTGGTCTCTGCCCAGGAAGGTGGGGCGGGGCTCTGGGACTGGGGCGCAACAGATTGAGGAGTGAGAAGGAAGCCGTAGAACCTGGGGTCCAGCAACTCTCTTAAGAAAGCTGCCATTGAGGTGGGGAGAGTGTAGCTCAAGTGGTAGAGCACATGCTCAGCACCCAAGAGGTCCCGGGTTCAATCCCTGGTACCGCCTCCAAGCGGACATCAATGAAGAAAATGAATTACCTTCCCCTCAGAAAACAAACAATAAAAGAAAGCTGCCATTGAAAGGAAGGGAAAGGAGGATGTTAGCTCAAAGGGGCTGCAAGATTAGGGGAGAGGGTTTTGCTTTGGTTGTGAAGCTGGGGAAAGCCTCTTAGAGACCAAGAGAAAAGGACGCGCGAGACCTGGCTTCTCCTGATGCACCTTCTTTTCTTTCCCTCCTAGGTCACGCCCAGAGCAGAAGCATGAATGATATTTCTCACACCCCGAATACAGACCAGGTAGCAAAGCCCTGCACTTGGCCAGGGTAGGACGGAGCCTTTGGTTGCAGGGGAGGGGAGCCCCTGCAGGCGTAACTCCATTCCCATGAAAAAGTGGGAGTCCCCAGGAGGGGCCCGGGTGGGGCTCTGGGCTGCCTTGGTGACTCTGCCCTGCCCATCACTTGGGTGCTGGCTCTGTGCCAGACCCTCTGTGCCAGGACAGGGAGGTGTGATCAGATGAGATGCCGGCTATCCCTGAACTTGGGATTTATGGGAGAGAGAAGACCACCACACAGTATCACCTCCTCCATGACCCTCGAGCACTTTTAATGATGAAGTGGGAACGTGGGCTGATAGAGGAAAGCAGTGGGGCCTCCCTGTGGGGGCAACAATGATTGTGAGTCAGCTGGACTGCCCAGCAGGGTATCTGCTCGTTGTCTGGTGCAAGATCAAGCCAGTTCTTGTCTCCCACTGATGAGCTCAGAATCCTACAAACAGGCTGAGTCCACATTCTAAGGCCCACAGCCCGGGAACCCCATGACTGTGCCCCGAGGGGAGCCCACAGGAGGCTGTCCTCACTTCCAAACACTGCACATTTCAGGGGCAGAGGGTCCCATGGTCCCCTTGCCTGTGCCCCCAGGAGTAGGAAGAAAGGTAATAAAGGAAACCTGAAATTTGGCACAGACGCCTCAGGAGCTCGGGTGACCTCCAGGCCTTCAAGGCACTCCCAAATCGTGGAAGGCAGAACGGAAGTGTTCCTTCACAGAAGCATCAGCCAGCATTTCAGGTCCACACACTGCGCGCATGGCACCGTGCGCAGCCTTCTCTGTGCAGCACGACGGGACAGTTAGCACCTCCGCTCTGCAGTGTTATCACCTCCTCCCTGCAGTTCACAGGCTTAACGCAGGTACATAACTAGCCCAAGTTCCTGGGGCTGGAGGATGCCAGAACCATGATTGGTCCAGAAGGTCTGACTCTAGAGCCCTTAACTTGGGAGTGAGTTATGAATGAATGAGTATTCTGGGATGTTATTTTGAGAAGAACCCCACATTACTATAGTCACGTGCACAGACAATGGCGCCATGATGACAAAGCATTTACTGGTAAAAGTCTCTCACAGCCTTTTTCGGTGACTGTCTGAGTGGCGCTAAGAATCCTGCTGCTCTCGGCAGGCACTGCCGCCTTTGACTTAGGGCCCAGGGCCCAACGCCAGGCATCAGCGTCCAGCTCGCCTGACTGGTTGGGAGATGCAGCCCCTCAGTATTTGCAGCGGCAGTGGCTTGTTGTGGGGACAATTTTGTACAACACGGGTGTTCTTTTAGGTGTATCTTTCTTCATCACTCCACATCGGCCCTGGGCAGCGAGTTCCCAGGGAGCAGAGCATGGATTCCCACGTGCGGCTGGGTGCCGTGGCTCCGCAGAGCTGCACCAGCGTCCCCTGGGTTCAGGCAGTGGGGTCGGCGGGGCCCTGGTGGGACAAGCCCACATCCAGACTGTTGCCAAGCCAGGGTGGCCAGAAGGCCAGCAGGGCCCATTTCTGGGATGCCTCCTTACTGGGATCACAACCTGCAAGGGAGGACCAAGGCCCCGTTTCACTCCTCTCTGCTCCTGTAATACAAGGGGGCTGCCTGGGCCACTAAGAGAATTTTCTGCTTTCAAAGCCTTATTCTCCAGGGCACTCCTGCCAGCCACCTCTCCTCCTGCCCCCTGGACCTGCTCCCTGCCTGATGCCCGGGGACATGGAGTTGGCAGGGGGACTGTGCAGCCCTCCATCCTGAGGAACCTGCTTATGAATCAGCTGACTGCGCCTGGGACAAAGGGACTCCATGAGCTGTGGGGACTCTGGGCTTCCCATTAACTCGTGCCCTTGCTGCTTCTCCCTGCGTTAGGGTCCTTGGGGCTGAGTTTTAGGGTTTTTTTTTAATAGGTTTGTAAGATTATAAGTGTGCAGCCCATGCTCACGAGCCTTTTCCAGTGCTGGTAGGCCCCTGACCCAGTGGGTATCAGGCCGCCATGAGTCAAATCAGGAGATGGCTGTGGGCCCAAAGGGGCAGGACCTGTTGGCCATGCCCAGGCCCACAACTGACCCCTCTCTGGGGCCTGAAGGAGCCCATCTTCACTGAGCTTATGAGAAACAATCATGTCTGTGCCCACAGGAGAGCCTCCCACCGAAGGGGAGTGGGTGGCAAAACTGTGGCGTCCACAGGATCTCTCTGCAGCGCTCGCCTCCACCTTCTGGGCCCTTTCTTCCTTTGTTGGCCACTGTGGGCTTCCGCCAGCCCTGTCCTCCCCAAACGCTCCCTCTCCACCTCTCTCTATGAAATTACCTCTGTCCCTTGCCCATCCCCTTGCTGTCCAGAGGGAAAGTGATCTGAAAAACTAATGCGTGTTAAATGTCAGATGTTAAAGACTAAGAAGAGCACGGAGGTGACCACCCCTGGGCACTGTCATTGTCAAAGTGGACTCGGGAGGAGTCAGCGTCTTAACTGCAGGGTGGACGTCATAACTGCAGAGGGTGGGACTGCCTAGGGGCAGAGGGCTCAGTTCCAGCATCTCTCACGTTGGACCCCACCCCCTCTGCCTGTTTGACCTTCCTGCCCTGGACAGACACCAGCCAGAGGGGCTGGAGGGAAGGCATTTCCAGAGTTTCAGGTGGAAAGGCTCAGAAGCTATGAGTTTCCCACGTGGTCCCCTAGGGGTGACTTGGGGGCACGGAAGTCTCCCACTGACTTGAAGTCATGGTCCTGGGGGTCCTGTCAACCAGGAAGCTGGTGGCAAAGAGAAAATAAGTCATGTCCACTCTGGCCATCAAGATGGCCTCGTTCCTCCCACAGCCACTCAAGGTGAAGGCAAAGAGGGAGGGCTGGGCGGCCAGAGTGTAAGACCCAAGACTCCTTCATGCTTGGGCTGCCGGAGGCTGGGGGATGAGGCCTGGTGTCCAGCAAACCTGGGCTCTCTTCTCTGACCCCTCAGCTCCCCTTAAGTCAAAGTTTCCACCCATCAAGGAATGTCTTAGGGGTCAAGTCATTGCCTGTTTCTTCCCATCTACAAAAGGCTTGGTTGGTCCCTGGGGTTAGCCAACGTTGAGTGTCCTCATCTGCAGACTAGGGGAGTGTTGGGTCATTTCCTTCAGTCTCTTAAACGCTGGGAAAATTTTTTATAAATTTAGCACCCCCTCCGCAGCACTCTGAAAGGGGGGGGGTGAGTGAGAGTGGAAACCACTGCCTGTGAGTATACATGGGTGTCTCTTGTCCCCCTCACTGACCAGCTGAAAAACAAATTCATGAAGAAGATCCCCAAGGACTCAGAAGCCTCCAATGTGCTGGTGGGCGAGGTGGACTTCCTGGACCAGCCATTCATCGCCTTCGTGCGTCTCATCCAGTCTGCCATGCTGGGAGGAGTGACCGAGGTGCCCGTCCCCACCAGGTGAGAGCCCTTGAAACCTGCCCACCACACCCACCCTTGGGTGGCCAGCTGTCCATGCACTCAGCCAGCACTGCTGTTGGAGACACCCCTAAAATGAAGACGAAAAATTAGGGAATTGGCCAGGGAGGGCAGTCTGACTCGGGAAGAGTTTAGAGCGTTTATTTAAGATAATCATAAAAAAGAAGCAGCCAACAGCTGGGCGAGATGCTGTTGGGGGGGCTCTGGGACACCAGAGTGCAGGGAGGGTGCTCAGGCGGGAGTGAAGAGGAATGTCTCCCAAAGCACATACGGGATTCAGAGGCGGGAAGGGACATGGTTATGGCCAGTTAAAAAGTGAAGAGTGCATGTTATTTAGGGCCAGAAAATCCTCTTCATCTGCTTCTATTTGTCCTTCTCACTTGCTTCCTCCTCTTCCTCCATCTTCTTGGCAGATTTTTGTTCATCCTGCTGGGGCCTTCTGGGAGAGCAAAATCTTACAATGAAATTGGCAGAGCCATTGCAACCCTCATGGTAGATGACGTAAGTGCTTGTGCTCCTGAATGTCATGGCTCCTGCATCAAACACTGCATGCGTTCACTCATCCAACAGGCACGTTTGAGCACCTGCTGTGTGCCAGGTCCTGTGCAGAATGTGAGGACTGTAAGAATGAGGGGATAGTTACTGCCCTTTAAGAGCACCAATCAAATGGGAGAGACAGGCCTATAATCCTAGTGTGAACCAGGTGCTGACTGCCCAGGTAGTCAGGGGGCCCTTTACACATGAGGGGGCTTTAAAGCTAAGGATGAGCAGGAGTTAGGTAGACCCAGCCCAAGCCTAGGAGGCAGGCATTCCAGGCAAAGAGAACAGGGGCCAAGGCTCGGAGACGGAGAAGCTGGATGAAGTGGTTTGATGTGGTCTCAGTATAAGATCTGTAAAGTCAGGAAACACTCTGGAGACAGTGTGAAATGATGCAGCCTGGCCCTCCAAAGATAAAGGGCCAGGATGTTACCAACAGATTTGAAATATCTGAGCTTCGCCAACTGGGCTCTGCACAGGTCTCCTAATGCGCTTGCTCCGTGGGAAACTGAGGGCAGAAAGGTTAAGTAACGCAACCCAAGTTGTCCAGCTGGTGCACCAGACCTGGCCTGCAGGTCCGCGAGGGGACCCAAGGCCTGCTGTTCCCACTGCACCGTATTTCACCTGCCACACCCTGTTCTCATCTCAGAAACTCGGAGCAGGTTGGCAGCAGGGGCGATGGTCCAAAGTGATTTTCTTTGCAAGTGTATGTGGTGAGCTTCCCGGGAGGTGGATGAGCGCAGACCTGTCTCCTCTCCTGTCTCTCGCTGCCAGCTCTTCAGCGACGTGGCCTATAAAGCCCGGAATCGGGAGGACCTGATCGCCGGGATCGATGAGTTTCTGGACGAGGTCATCGTGCTTCCCCCTGGAGAGTGGGACCCAAATATCCGAATCGAGCCACCCAAGAAGGTCCCTTCCGCCGACAAGAGGTGTGTGTGAACGAAGGGGCGGCAAGCGGGCAAGTGGTTCAGAGGGAACTTTCCATCTGTCTGTTTCCTTTTTTTGATTTGAAAGTTGTCAGCATACAGGGCTTTATACTTTTTTGTTCCAGTTACATTTTTTTTCTCTAAGGAAAAAAATCAGAAGCAAATATGCTGACTGTGCACATCTGTAAAATCTGAGTGACCTGTGTCACTGCATTGTCCTCTGTATTTTCAAGACAGCTGATGACTTGAGTTGGCGAGGTAAGGAGTGCTGAGCTATTCCCAGGGCTGGAGCCCCAATGTTCCCTGTCCCCTTTCTCCTTCCAGGAAATCCGTGTTCTCCCCGACTGAGCTAGGCCAGATGAACGGCTCTGTTGGGGGAGGCGGCGGAGGGGCCGCAGGGGGCGGCGGCGGCAGCGGCGGCGGCGGCGGCAGCGGCAGCGGCGGGGCCGCTGGAGGCAGCAGCGGGGATGACGGAGAGATGCCCGCGGTGCACGAGATCGGGGAAGAGCTCATCTGGACAGGAAGGTGCCCGTTCCAGGCCTGTCGGTGACGCCAGCTGGCTTAGATTTCTCTTCTCACCCACCTTTTGGGAACCCGCTCCCCTTCCCGCTGTCTGCAGCGCCCCCTCCCGGCCGGGGCGTCTGGCCACCGCTCTCTTCCTCCCCGCCCCTCAAAGCCCCTGCTGGATCCCGCGGAAGAGTTGCCTGGGGGGAGGGGGAAGGGAGAACCCGCGCCCCATTGGGGGAACGCAGGCTTTTCTCAGGGCTCCCTTCCAGGGATGCCAAAATGAAGTATTTACAGATTGGGTGGCTTAAACCGCAGAAATGGATTCTCTCGCAGTTCGGGAGTCCAGAAGTTCCAAATCAGGCAGGGCAGGCTCCCTCTGGGACTCTGGGTGGAATCCTTCCTCGCCTCTCCCCAGCTCCTGGTGGTGGCCGGCAGCCCTTGGGGTTCCGTGGCTTGCCGCTGCCTCACGCCCATCCCTGCCCGTGCTGCCACACGGTGTTCTCCCTGTGTCTCTGCCTTCCTATAGCGTTTCCTCTCCTTATGAGGACACCAGTCATGGATCAGGGCCCCCTCGAATGACCTCATCCTAACTTGTTTTCACGTACAAAGACCCTGTTTCCAAATAAGGTCAAAAGCACAGGTTTGGAATTTTGATGTATCTTTTTGGGGGACACAATTCCATCCATGACAGTAACTTTTGAAATTTTTTGCACCTTATGTTTCCTAGTCAATCCTCACCCCCCACTTTTTTTTTCTAAAGAAAGCAAGAGAAATTTTTCCTGCCTTGGGTTTCTTTGCCAGCTCTTGAAATAACTTGGGTTGATCTGAATTTAGGAAAGGACATGATCCCGAAAGCTCTGTGTAAATCATGACTTTGAGAAGGGAGTCATGTTTTATATGCCCTTGGCTCTCCAGCAGCCACCGGTTCCCAAGTGGAGGCAACTTGACTCACCCCTGCCCCCATCCTCACCCAGGAGACATTTGACAATGTCCAGACACATTTTTGTTTGCACGACTGGACGGGAGATGCTACTGGTCTCTAGAGGAGAGGGGCCAGGGATGCTGCTCAGCATCCTCCAATCCAGGAGGACTTCCTCCCCACAGCAAAGGCTGATCCAGTCCAAAGTGTCAATAGTACCAAGGCTGAGAAACGCTACTCCATGCTAAGCACACATCAGGAGCTATGGAGACTGGCATCCCCGATAAACACTCTCCCTAAACCTAAAATTCCCCACTCGTCTGTTCCATGAAACCAAGTAACCAGTTACAAGGTTCAGAATCTGCCCTTAATGAATCTGTTACAAACCAGGATGTCTCCGTCTCCGGAAGTTGGACACACCTGTGTTTACCAAGCACAGGTACACTGCGGGTGATCAGGGACGTGAGGATGGCCTTCTGTGGACCCCAGGATTTCCATTCCCTGTGGAATGTTGGGTTGACCCCAAGATATATTCCCACAAGGGCTTCCCTCTCCCACCCAGGCTGTTTATGACCATTCTTCCCAGTGGGGATGGTGCCAATCACAGTCCTCCAGTCTAAAAAGAGAATTGTCCCCTGGTCTTAAATGTTCTGGTGGAACGATCCCTTTCCCCTCCCCCACTAGTCAATTTCCCTTCCTCACTCCAGACTCTGTAGCCCCGGCGCCAGTAGCCCTGGCCCCGCCGTGGTGTCTGTGGTGAGAAAGCAGTCTCTGGGCCTGTCTCAAGCAGGTTCTTCGGTGGCCTGTGTCTGGATGTCAAGAGGAAGCTGCCCTGGTTCCCCAGTGACTTCTACGATGGCTTCCACATTCAGTCCATCTCTGCCATCTTATTCATCTACCTTGGCTGCATCACCAACGCAATCACCTTTGGTGGGCTTCTGGGGGATGCCACTGACAATTACCAGGTGTGTGTGAGCTGGGGCCATGAGTGCAAAGCTCAGAAAAGCCTGCTGCCACCGAAGGGTGGTAAGGAGTTCATCCCGTAATCCCAAAACTACGGTTTGGTTTTCGTCTACCATCCAGGTTCAGACCATCGCTTTTGGTAATCCTTTACCCTTCAAAAAATAATAACAAGCTGACATAATTAAAAGATCTAAAGCTATATCATGTTGCTAGAGATGAAATTTAAAGATGATGTAAATAGATCAGATGTTTATGGGGAATCATCTGCTTTGTTATTCGATACTTTTCCCACTGATGCTTCAGTGAATTTAATCAACCCAATTAATCGAGTTACTAATGGTGGAAACTTCTTCCCATAGTTTTTTAAAAAACTAACCTTAAATTCTTAGCTTGAAGTTGAGATATTTTAGAAAGATAATAAACCACTACCATGGCAACAACACACGTCTCCCTGGGGAAAATAAGGGGCTTCTCCAATGGGGGCCTTCAGGATAGAATCACTGGAAAGCTTAGATCACCAAGGTGAAGACCCATTTTTCCAGATAAACTGAGATGAATGCCTGTCTCCAGCCCACACCAATCTGGTTCAATACCCAGCTGCCTCCTGGACACATCCATGTAGCTGCCCTTTGGGATATCCCAGCTCATAGGGACGTTATCTTCCCTCCAAACCTACTGTTCCTCCCTGCCAATGAGCAATGATACCGTGGTTGACCAGCTATTCACACATCATCCTTGGCTCATAAACCCCAGCTTCCACGAGTAGCCCTCATGATATGGTCCTGCTTGCCTCTCAAGCCTCATCTCCCTGTGTTCCCTTTCTCAGATTCCTGCCCTCCTCATTCGTTCTGCATTCTGGTTCCCATCCACCCTGATCGTCTTTCAGTTCTTCAAAGGCGTGCTCCCTTCCAGCTCCAGCCTGTGTAAACACTGTTCCCTCTTCCTGAGACATTCTTTCTCATCATTCCACTTACCCTGTTCTCCTTGTCAAGTCCCTGCTCGATTCTGGGGCCTCAGCTTCCATGTATCTGCCTCCTGGGAGGCTTCCCTGATTATGCCTTCACTCCTACTGTGTGCTCCTATGACACCCTCACCTTATCCCAGCTTACTACACCCTTGACAGTGGTTCTGAACAAGAGATGATTTTGACCCCTAGGAGACATCGGGTAACGTCTAGAGATAGCTTGGACTGTTATAACTGGGAGGTGAGGTGATGATGCTGGCATCTTGTGTGTAGAGGCCAGGAACACTGCTAAACATGCTACAGTGCACAAGACAGCCGTCCACCGCAAAGAATTACCTAGCCTGAAATGTCAGTGGTGCTGAGGTTGAAGAACTCTGCTGTATGGAAATTGCCAGGTTACTTGTCTGTTTCTTGCACTAGATGCGTGATCTTGTTGACTCATGGGTCCTCAGTATCTAGCACAATGCTGATACATAGTAGGCCCTTAATGGATTTTGAGTGAATGAATGGACTGACCTCTAAGAGCACCTAACATGTTTGAATGAATAAATAACTGGCTGGACGAGTGGGCTGTCCTCTGGAAGTAGAAGGGGCATGGAACAAACACAACCATTGGCGGCCCTGTTTTCTAGGCCAAGGGTGCCAGATGGAAGTCATGTAGGAAGTAAAATTAGAATGTGATGCTGGCAATTGTGGGGAGTCGTGGAGTCAGAGTTGGGGAGCAGAACTTGGGGAGGAGAGGGCCTAGAACAAAGGGTGAGCGCTGTGGCCTGGGCCCTTGGGAGATAACTGGGTTCTGGCCTGTCTGAGAGGCCCCTTCTCGCGCCTCTGCTGAGCCTCGCACTCCTCTTGCCCCCAGGGAGTGATGGAGAGTTTTCTGGGCACCGCCATGGCTGGCGCCTTGTTCTGCCTCTTCTCAGGGCAGCCTCTTATCATCCTCAGCAGCACAGGGCCCATCCTCATCTTCGAGAAGCTCCTCTTCGACTTCAGCAAGTAGGTGCCCCTCGATGCTCCCGAGCCTGCTCTCACACCTGGGGAGTATGGGAGGCCGGGGTAGGGGCAGAGCCCCACGGGGAGGCAGGGGTGAAAGCTGTCTTTACCTATAGGAAGCCCTGCCGCGTGGTCCCTCCTGACTCCGTCTGCTCCCTGCCACCTTAGCGCACGTTAGCACGGCCCAGAGGGAGAAATCCAGGCAGGACAAGAGGAGAGAATTCGCGCCACTCTGCTCATTAGCAACTATGACTTGAAAGTCAATGCAGTGAATAAAGTCTCAAGCTGGAGGCTGGAAGGCCGCAGCCTGACTCGGGCAGCTCTGGGCACAGCTGATTCGCCTATAGCATGAGCCCATTTCTGAGGCCTGCTCCAGCTCTGTCATTCTGAAATTCCCTGTTTGTCATTCACCCTGGGTGTTTGTTACCAAATACATAAGAACTGAAGTGTGTGAGGATCTTCCCGCCACCGCGTGAGATCCTTCCCCAGAATTCTCAAAGACCAGACAACCCCACCCCAAAATTGTCCCTGTCCCCAGTCCTCTTGAAGCTCCTAGGAGGGTATCTGTGCCACAGGAGGGGCAGATGAGCCACTCAGGGTGGGTCTGGGGAGCCGAGCACAGTCAAGAGCCCTGGGCTGGAGGCCCTTCACTTCTCTCTGCCTTCCAGAGGCAATGGCCTGGACTACATGGAGTTCCGCCTCTGGATTGGCCTACACTCAGCCGTCCAGTGCCTTATCCTGGTGGCCACAGATGCCAGCTTTATCATCAAGTATATCACCCGCTTCACTGAGGAGGGTTTCTCCACCCTCATCAGCTTCATCTTCATCTACGATGCCATCAAGAAGATGATCGGTGCCTTCAAGTACTACCCCATCAACATGAACTTTAAGCCTGACTCCATCACCACCTACAAATGCGAGTGCGTCGCCCCGGATGCAGGTGACCGGTAACCCCAGAGGTACCCTGGGCCCTCACCCACCACCCGTTCCCCCCACCCCATCCCCCAGCTCTCTGCTCAAAGGCAGGAGAATAAGCCTGCTTTGGGGGGGCTGTTCAGCCAAGGGCTTATTGCCCCAAAGGGTCAAATACAGGGTCTTAAACCAGTTTTTGGAAGGAAACCAAGGGGACAGGAGCTTTAATGAGGGTCGCAATACCAGAGCCCAGGGTTATAATCAGGAGGGAGCAGTGCTAGTGATACCCCAGGTAGGGACGAAGCCAAGCTTTACCTCAGTGTGGGGTGATGTGGAGGCCACACCTGTCAGGAAGGCTGCTCAGGGTTCCTGCTCCAGGCCAGAGGTAGATCTGATGGGGCCTAAAGTCCCTCCCAGCTCCCTGAGTGCATGACATGTGAGCTCTCCCTGACATACCACTGCCAATGTGTTCACACCAGAGGGATGAAGATCTCAACAGATGGGGACATGTCCAGGGTGGAGGGCTGGTCAGGCTGGAAGAGGGCCTGGTAATCATGTCATTGAAGAATGGTTGGAGAACCTGGGGTTATTCAACCTCTTAGAGAGGTGAGAGAGGACTGTCATGTCACAGAGGGGCTGGATTCACCCTGTGTAACTGTACGAAGCAGAGCAAGGGCTGAGGAGCAAAAGCTCCAGGGAGCCAGATGCTGGCTGAATTCAAGAAAAAACTTACAGTGGTGGGAGCAAACCATCCTGAAAGGTATTGGCCCCCTTGAGTGGTAGCAAGCTGCTTGGACACTACCTGGATGTCCATCTGCCAAAGGTATTGCAAGAATGATTCTGGCTCTGGGTGGGAGGCTGAATCAACCAACTGGTCAACCCGACAATACTCAGTGCCATTCCTGTGGGGTTTCCTTCTGACCAAAAAGTGTCATCTGTAAAGTTAGGGCTTCCCATAGATGAACCACCGGTTTCCTTCATGGTCATAATCATGCCCCTAAGAGCTTTCAGTGGGATGTGCCCAGGGTGCCCAGGATGCTATGGTACAGGGGTTGGAGAGCTGTCCACGTTACCTGCTCGCACCACCAGGCTGGACTCACAGAGCAAACAGGTCCAGAGACCCCCAAGGTCACACCAAACCTGTCTCCCTAGCTATAAAGAGGGCTGTCAGTGCTGGCCCTGCCAGTGTCATGGAACACTTGTGAGGTTTTCATGTCTATCCTCAGATTGGGTTGGAGTTTGACATAAGTAGATTCTGTGCCGTTCAGCACCTAAATACATACTATTGATAAAATATTGATAATAAGTCAACCAAAAATATATGTTGCACAAATATTGTGCACACTACTTTAGACTTTGTAAAGGTAAATGTAGTTTTGGTTGTGCCCTTCCACCCTCTGTCACTGAATTTGTAAAGCTGTTGAGACTTAATTTTTTCTTTCCTTTTATTTCTATCATTAATTTTGAGTTATTCCATTATAATCCAGCACAAGACGAAGCTGTCCTTTGTCCTGGGCCAGAACATGTTGCTTGCCCAGGGGACTGAGGAATCCTATGTGCCATCTCTTGTTGTCCCCCTCCAGAGCAAATCCCGTCTCTGTGGGCCAAGCCGCATCCATCAGGGCACTCCCGTTTTCTGCTCAGACCCTCTGGCCTGAGGAGCCACTGTGCCGAACACAGATGTTCCCACAAACATGGCTTTTGGAAGTACATGTCCCTTGATCTCGTTCAGAAATGGTCCACATTCTGGGGGCATAGGTGGAGCTTTGGCCATTTTGAGAATCATTTTTCCACAAGACAAACCAAGGAGAGGGGTGCCCAAGGAGCAGGGGATGTACACATAAGAGCGTATAAGGTAGGATTTGAGGACCATAAAAAAATCCACCTGCCTCTAAGTAGCATCTCCTCTGGCCTCACCCAGGTGCCTAATGTCACCTCATTCTTTTGGGTCATACTGTTGCCATGGTTCTCAAAGTGGGGTCCCCGGTAGCAGCATCCACCCGTCTGGGAACTCGTTAGAAATGCACATTCTCAGGCCCCACCGCAGACCTGCTGAATCAGGACTCGGGTAGAGTCTGCTGTCTATGGACAAACCTCCCAGGTGATTCTCACACATGCTTAAGTTTAAGAACGACTGCTCTGTTCAACCCAGTCATTGTTAGCAACCAACCCTAGTGAGATTCGATTTTCAGTTTCTTCATGGAGAGCTTTGATTAGGAGACCAAGAAAAGGAAAATTCGAGATGTTCTGGAGACTGGAGAGGGGGCTGTTGACTGAGGAAGCTCTCCTCCCTGGTCCGCGGGCCACTTGCTTACTAACTGCTCCGTAACCTTAGTGTTACTGCAATTTGATTACAGCGCACTGTCACTCTGTGTCACTCGCTGTCATAAGAGCTTGTTTGGGGGCACTCCTTTTAACTTCATCTTGTTTCCATTGTAACTGATTTGTATTCTGTTTATGGCTGCTGCACACACTGACTGGGCTGCTTTCAATCCCAAGTGAGTACCGCTTTGTAAACACTAGAATTTTTCAATATTTGATACTTGGACACTTTCTGGGAGTTTTCATGCTACAGTTCTTCCTTCTTCAGCTCAAAGTGGCTTTCAGATAAACCCTACAGAGTTCTCCATATGAAAGAGTGGCTAAGCCTAAGCACAAGACGGCAAGGGGATGTCTGGTCCGGCGACCTTGGGCAGTGGAAGGGCATCTGCCCTCGCCAGGCTCAGGCACTGGCCGGCAGTCCTGTAGCATCTGCGTGGGGAGCCCCGAGCAGCCTTCTTGCCCCGCTTCTCTGCTCCGCTGTTACGTGTGCATCGTGTTCCTTTGGTTGCCAGTGTGAGAAAAAGCAGCGGATAGATGGCGCTGATTTCTCTTAAGTGAAGCGTTCTTCAAAATAATTGTAACAGCAGGGAGTATACAGCTCAAGGGGTAGAGTGCATGCTTAGCATGCATGAGGCCCTGGGTTCGATCCCCAGTACCTCCTCCAAAAACAGATAAACCTAATTACCTCCCCCCTCCCCCCACCAAAATAAAAAATAAGTAAATAATGTAATAGTAAATGAAACACTTAATTAAACAAAAAGAATAATTATAACAAACCTCTGAGTTTGTAGACCTTCCCTGGGTCAAGACCAAATTCCTTAGCCACTCCCAGCCTCACTGGCCCGGAAGTGAGCCACACAGAAGGACCCTGTGATCCATTGTCCTGTGACAGTTTGTTGGAGGTTAAAGGAAGCTTCAAGAATGGCTTCTTCTTCCCTCTGGGTTCCTAACCACAGCCAGCAGGAGCCAAACGAGGCCTGCAATGCATTTCAGGTTACTGCCAGCAAACTGGCTGGGCCTCCTCCCTCCCTCCTCAGATCGGCTGCGGAGGAAGAGCTTAGTGAGCCTTCACTTGGAGGAGGAAGGCAAGGAGGAGCTGGCCACGTGGTGCCGGAGCAAGAGAGAGGGCAACCAGCGGCTCTCCAAAGCTGCCTTTGCCATGAATGGCCGCAGCCCCCAGGGAGGGGATTTCAGTTCCTCTCAACTCGTCTCATGGCCCCAGAAGGGCACCCTCCTCTGCTCCACTTACACAGGGACACTGAGGCTGGGGCAGGGGCACGCAGACAAGGGGTGTGGAGTAAACAGCTGAGAGCAGCATCTTTGGGTTTCTGATTCTCCTGCAGATCCTGGACACAAGTTTAATTTTCCTCAGCTTGCATTTAAGGGGCAAATTAGGGAAGATAACCTACAAGTTTTTACAGGCCCAGATGACCTGAAAAAAAAAAACACATATGCACAGAGCAGAAGAGAAGGGAGGTGTATATGAGGGGAGCCGCGTAGGGAAGGAAGCTTGCTGTGTAGGGTGCGGAGGTGCCCTCTACACATCCCGCCTGGGATGTTGGGAAAATGGCTCCTCCAAGTGCAAGTTGTGTGACCTTGGGCGATGGGCAGGTTACTCAGCCTCTCTGGGCCTCAGTTACCTCATCTTTAAAAGGGGGAGACTTCTTAGGGATTTATGAACTTAGCAAGGTGACGTGTGTAGGGGTTTGGGCACAGTGCAGGGCAAAGAGGAAGTTCTTTGAAAGTGTTCTTTACGTCTAAGAACGCAGACGTCGGTCAAGTGGCTGGTGGGGATTCACGAGGCACATTATTCACCAACTGTGTTAGCGTTTTGTCTTGGCGACAGATTCCTTACTTCAGCTTTTAAAGCCAGCCCTTCTGCATCAGGCAGGAGCTGTCCTAACCGGGCCCAGCTAGTCTGTCCGAGCCGTGGCCCGGGCTCCCTCCCACAGCCCTGCCCTCCCGGGGCCAGGTGAGGAGAGCTGCTGCCCTCACAGTGAGAGCCAGTCCTTGGCGCTAAGGAACTGGATGGAGATGGGGAAGGGGCGTCCGGGGGTGTCACAGGCTGCTGACCCTGCCCCGTGTCCTGTGCTCCTCCACAGCGAATACATCCTCATTCAATGCTTCAGCCACGCTGCCACCAAACACCAACACTTCTCTGGTAAGTCCTCTCTTATGCCAGACATTCGAGAGCTTTTGTTTGTGGGGAGAGAGAAGAATGGGGAGACTGAGACCATCTTGTTGTGACCCAGACTGACAGAGGTCAGCCCCACTGCACACCAGGGTCACCTGCAGAGCTGTGTATATGCAAATTTTTATTTTAAGAGTATGCTGTCAAAATCCCATGTTGTGTCATTCTATTCAATCCATGTGCGTAAATCTTGCCCCCCCGCATACACACACGCACACGCGCACACACACACACACACACACACACTCACACGCACACATCCACAGGACGGGAGGCAGAGGTGAGGAATGCTAAGCAGGGCTGTACAAAGCTGTCCACAGTTTCCCATCCATCTTTCTGCCTTCTTCCTTACCTTTCCACTTAGGACTCCCAGTTCCTACCAAAGCGATGCTACTTCCCAGCCCTGGAAGGTTTACTAAGGCTCCCCCCTTCTCTGAAGCTGCTCTGTCCTTTGCACTCATGAGTCCCCGTGGGCCCCAGCTCTGCTCTGCCTTTTCCAGTCATGACGAGCAGTGGCCCTCAGGAGACAGCGCCTAGACTAAGTGGCACTGATGACGGTGGAAGTCCGAAACCAGGGGAAGGGTAGCACCTGGGCAGCCTTGAGGGGAGACTCGGGGACTTCAGTGTCCCTAAGGTTGCTCCTTAGGTTACCCCTGCACAGGCAGCTGACTGCTCAGTGGCCATTTAACCTAAGATTTTTCAAATATCTGATTTTGAGGGAGGAAAAATGGAATCAGTCAGTGCCTGTGTCTGAATACTTACTACGTGTAAGGGCTCCAAAGACAGCTAAGACACAGATGTGGCCTCTGCCCTCCCACCTGCTTGTAATGTGCGTGTGGGAGGTTAACCTGAAGGGTAAGGGGCAGCACAAATAGAGTCAAACACAGGTCGAATGCATCCGTCCGGTGGTGGAGGCACAGCGTACTCTGCAGATGGGAGAGGAGCGCCTCCTAGAGGAAGTAGAACACGATGTGGGCTTGAAGGTTGGGAAATTTGGTCCCATAGAGAAAAGCACAATCCAGGCCGAGGGACCAGCATAGACAGAAGGGCACGAGAGGAAAAGCAGGAAAAGTGTTCTGAGGACAGTGGGTGGACCAGTCCTGCCGAGACAGAGGGAGAGTGGGGCATCACACAGGGAAGTCACGAGAGAGAAGCCAGGGTGGAGACGCTGGACCAGACACGGCGGCGATGGAGGCTTCAGTGACTGAGGGAGGCAGCTGACGGTCAGTAGATGCTGTGGCTGTCTCTTCCTGTCCGATCTTCATCTCCAGTCCTGAGCTTTTCCACAGCATGGTGGTCTCAGAGTTCCAAGAGGG